CAAGTGAAGAAACCTCGCAGTACAACCTGGATCTCTTTCCCAGATCTCCTTCCTACTTTCTTTGTGAATGAGGTATTGTTCTCGCTAGCGGCAGTAGTAGGGAACCTTTGCACATGAATCTTGCAACAATCAACAAGACTCAGCCAAGTTGTGCAAGGGTGAAGGTTCAACTGGATCTGCTAGCGAACAAACCTGAATATGTTCAAATGCAGATAGAAAATAACAACAATCAGGAGATCAAAATCATTAAAGTTAAGATCCAATATGACTCACTCCCATCATATTGCAAGAAATGTAGAATTTAGGGTCACAAAGAGGAGGAGTGCAGGATACTGCATCCAGAATTACAACAGGAGAAACAACATGAGAAGGAAGCAATCATACCACAACAGCTTGACAAAATGCAATTTTATAAAGGAGCAGTGATCAGCAAATGGAAGCCCACCACAAGGATGTTTACAAAAAAGGCAGGAGAAAAAATGGGAGACAAGGCTGTAGAAAGACATGAGAACATCAGTACCACCAATTCTTTTAATGTGTGAAATCAACAGGGACATGATGAAGCAACCATTATAGAAGAAGGATTAATACACAATAAGGAACAAGAAGGAAAAGGGATAGCAGGGGACAGCACAACAATAGCTAGCTCAGCACAAGGAAAAGGAAACTATCACAACAAGGTATCAAGAAGGGAAATAGTACAGCAGAATGTTCAGAGCAATGCAGGTCATATAGTGCCGAGAGATAGTAAACCAGGTGAGGTGGAAAAAGGTGAAATAACTGAAGCTGGAAAGCTCCAGGTGTTGGGGGAAGAAAAAGAAGAAGCTCAGGTACGCAACATTTCCTCAAAAGACTATGATGAACACATAACGGATGCCAGAAATGAAGCCATGGACGAAGGGGACACAACACAAATAACTTTGATTGTCAGGACATATGAAGAGTACGAGGCTCTAGATACACAAAATGTTTTGGAACATGACACTTACCACATCCCACTGCAGATAGTAGACCCCAATGTTGGATGGTATCCATCTAAACATTCAGATCAGGTGCTATTGAAGGATACAGAGAAGGTTCCCAATCAGCAGCTGATAGTTGCTGGCCCAAAATTGCAGCATACTCAGATCTTGCATGAATTAGTCTCCCATCAGGGACAAATAGAGGAGAAAAATAAGAGTTACACAGAAGTCAATTTGATAGAAGATAAAGGGGAAGTCAGTAACTTACTAATAGCAAAAAAGGCATATACAGAGGCAGGACTATCTCCCTCTACAACATCAAAGATTAAAGGAAAGAGTAGAGGTGATGATTTATCCACAAGAACCAACCCTAGGAGGGGTGCCAAGAATTGCACTAAATGATGATGAAGACATTATTCTGGAATGTGAGGTCGGTTAGAACTCAAAATTTATTCCATAGAATTCAAATGTTGCATAGACATCACAAGTTCTCTATTATAGCTTTGATGTAGCCATTTCAAAGTGTTAATACAATCCAAAAGTACAAAAGGAGGTTGGGCATGGAGTATGGTAATTATAATTGCAATGGTAAAATTTGGGTATTTATCCAGGAGCATGTTCAGGTGGAAGTGTTAGCTGATTCAGAACAAATGTTATCATTGAGACTCCAATTTCTGGAAACAGATCAAATACTGGTGGTGTCAATTGTGTATGCAAAGTGTGAAGCTGTAGAGAGATTGAATTTGTGGAATTATATCTATCATATTAGTAGTCAAATCAATGATTCTCCCTAGTTGATTGGGGGTGACTTTAATGTCATTTTAAATGAGGAAGAAAAGATTGGGGGTCTTCCAGTATATCCTAATGAATATGAAGATTTTGCATTTTGTATAAATTTGTGTGAATTGGTGGATATCAACTTCAAAGGAAGTCCATTCACATGGTGGAATGGTAGGATTGATAGTGAGTGTATCTTCAAGAGACTTGATAGATATTAGATGAATCAGTCTTTTATTGGAAAGTTTGGTATGGTGGAATCTGAGCATTTGGCAAGAACAGGTTCTGATCATGCTCATTTACTGCTCACTTGTGGTTAACAGACTATCATTGTAAGAAAACCATTCAAGTTTCTTAAATTTTGGTCAGAAAGGGATGATTTTCAGCAGGTGGTGAATGATAGTTGGGTAGCTTCAGAAGAGGGGGATGTTTTTGTTAGGCTCAAGCATAAGTTGAAAAAAACTAAAGTAGCTTTGTCCAATTGGAGTAAAGCTACATTTGGGGATATTTTCAAGCAATTATCTATCAGAGAAGAAATAGTTAGGGTGAAGGAAGAACTATTTGTAGAAGATCCTTCAGCAGATAACAGAATGATTCTTCAGCAGGCTCAAGCAGAATTGAAGAAATATATACACTATGAAGAGGAGTTTTGGAGACAAAAATCAGGAATCCAATGGTATACAGAAGGGGAGAAGAATACTAAGTTCTTCCACAGCTTAGTTAAAGGCAGGATAAAGAGGTTAGCTCTTACCATGATTCAAAATATGAAAGGCTCATGGGTGGAGGGTTCAGAGCAAATAGCAGCAGCTGCTCAAGAATTTTATCAGAATCTATTCACAGGGGATCAGAATGAAAGAGAAATGTCTTTGCTGCAAAATATCAATAGAGTTGTTTCTAAGGAAAATAATAGATTTCTCAATGCAATGCCTACTAAGGAGGAAATCAAGAGGGTAGTGTTTGAGTTAAATGGAGATGGTGCAAGTGGCCCTGATGGGTTTACTGGTCATTTCTATCAAAAATGTTGGCATATTGTTGGAGATGATGTGGTTGAGGTGGTAGTTTCTTTCTTTCAGGGTAGCACTCTTCCTAAGTCCATCACACATACTAATTTGATGCTTTTGCCAAAGAAGAAAGTTATTCAATCTTTCTTAGACATGAGGCCAATTAGCTTGAGCAATTTTATCAACAAAGTTATTTCCATGGTGGTGAATGATAGACTGGGTTATTTTCTCCCTTCTCTGATTTCACAAAATCAATCAGGTTTTATAAAAGGGAGAAGCATCACTGAGAATGTTCTACTAGCTCAAGAAATTATTACAGATATCAGGAAAAGGGGTAAGCCAGCTAATGTGGTGATCAAGTTGGACATGGCTAAGGCTTAAGATATGGACTGGCATTTTCTTATTAAAGTGAGGGAGAAGATGGGTTTTGATATTGTTGTAGTAGATATGATTTGGAGGCTGGTTGCTAACAATTGCTATTCCATTCTTATAAATGGTCAAGCTCATGGTTTCTTTCATTCTTCAAGGGGAGTGAAGCAAGGGGATCATTTATCTCCTACTTTGTTCATTTTAACTGCTGAAGTCCTAACAAGAGCTCTTAATTCATTGTTCAACAATGAAGCCTATATGAGTTATGGATTACCTAAGTGGAGTGACAACATCAATCATCTACTTATGCTGATGATACTATTATTTTTACCTCTGCGGATGGGAAATCACTGGATATATTGATTCAAATTTTAAAAGATTACGAGGCACAATCAAGGCAAATGATTAATAAGGAGAAGAGTTCCTTCTTTGTCTATCATAAGACAGCCCAGAATTTGATTAGACAGATTGAAGTGAAGACTGGTTTTGCTAAAGGTAAGCTCCCTCTGATATATTTGGGTTGTCCTATTGGACATGCTAAAAAGAGAAAGGTGCACTTTGCTGAATTAATGAAAAAGGTTCTCAATAAGCTTCAAACTTGGAAAACTACGATGCTCTCTTTTGGGGGTAAAGCAGTTTTACTAAAAAAATGTTCTCAATAGTATCCCTATTTATCTCCTATCTGCTATTAATCCTCCAAGCTGTGTGATTCATGATTTACATAGTTTTTGCTAGATTTCTGTGGAATTTCGAGGCTGCAGGAAGAAACAAGCACTGGGTGGCTTGGAGTGACATTTGTAAACCCAAAGAAGAAGGTTGATTGGGTTTTAGATCCCTTTTTGATGTATCTAAGGCTCTTTTTGCAAAATTGTGGTGGACTTTCCGAACATAAAAGTCCTTATGGACTAACTTTATGTGGAATAAGTACTGTAAAAAGAAGAGGCCCCGGTTGGTGGAATGGAAAGGTGGATCACTAACATGGAAATACATGTTGGAGGCAAGAGAAATGTTTGATCAACAAATATGGTGGGAACCCAAATATGGTCACTCAAGTGCCTGGTATGACAATTGGACACAGTTGGGGGCTCTTCATTATTATCTCCCTATTGATGCAGCTAGGAATATTCATCTTGAATAGGTTAGTCAATGTTTTACACCAGGCGAGTGGAATTATGAAATGATGCTTGTCAATTTTGGGGAAGAGATTAGCAATCATATCATTCAACAGTTAAGTTGTACAGAGGACATAGATCATTGGGACAAACCTTGGTGGATGCTAAATGCAGTTGGAAAGTTTTTAGTGGTTTCTGCTTGGGAGTATTCTAGGGATAAAGGTGAGTTATGTATGAACTACAAGCTTATCTGAATGAAAGGGATCCCTTTCAAGGTGTCTTTTTTCATATGGAAACTTTGGAGAAACAGGATACCTATAGGGGAAGTTCTAATTTTGTACAAGATTTGTGAAGATGTAGTGTTTGTTTGATGTGAGGAAGAAGTGCAGGAGTCTATTGAACATCTATTTATTAGACGTCCAATGTCCAACTCAATATGGAGATACTTTGCTAATACAGTAGGAGTTGAGGGCCCTTTCCTACACCTAAAAGACAGTGTTTACAAATGGTGGAATACAGATGCATCAACAAAACTCACTCCTATCTTAAAAGCTATACCTATGTTTCTTTTGTGGCAAGTGTGGAAGAGAAGAAACATAATTAGATATGGAGGGAAGATGTCTTATTTAAATATGAGAAAGGAAATAGCCAAGAATTTATTTTTCCTGGCCAAGTCCTTATATCCGTGGATGCACAACATACCTGATAATTGGTCGGATTTGATAAGGTTTTTAACGAATTATACCCCTAGAATTGGGTGTAAAGTTGTGTATTGGAAAATGCCTAGAATGGGAGAATATAAAAGTAATTCTGATGGAGCTTCGAAAGGTAATCCAGGTCCTAGCTCATGTGCTTTCTGCATAAGAAATGACCAGAGGGATCTTATTTATGTTGAAGGAAAGAGGATTGGCATAGCTAATAACTTGGTGGCAGAGGTGGTGGCTTTGAGAATGGGTATAGAATACTGCAGGATGAATAATTTTTTCCCTTTTAACACTGGAGACCGATTCTCAAGCTGTTAAGAATATGGTCGATGGTTCATGGGATATCCCTTGGGAAGTTTCGTTGGAGATTAGAAGAATTCAGGAGCTCATGAAAGGGATGGAGGTGGTCATTGAACACACGTTCAGGGAGGGCAACAAAGTGGCAGATTTTTTAGCTAATCTTGTTTTTTCTTTTGAAGGTACCGAGATAATCTCATTTAACACCTTTCAAGATTTACCCAAAGAGGCGAAAACATTACTAAACATGGATAAGAGTCAGACACCAAACCTCAGAATCAAACAGTTTCAGAATGAGAATTTTAGAATTGAGGGAGGATAAACAAAATCAAGCAAGCTCAATTGACAGATAAGATTGTATAATTCACAATCCATCAATAAGCAAATGAATTGGTAGTAGTGGATTGATTACATTGATAATACATTAAATTAATAGAGAAGAGGAGCAGTGTACATGGTTTCATTCAAAATGGCGCTCTTTCGAAATTCTTAGGCAGTGGTATTAGTTCCTTATTGAGCTCAATTTGTCGAGGGTGAAGATGGACAATGTATTGAGCTAAATTGATACAACAAGTTTTGGTACAAAGAAAAATCAGAATACACATTTTCTATGTAGAGTAGACCTGGAAATATTTGAGTTGGAGAAGTCTCCGGTGGGAACGATTTCATGGCGTTGGTGAGATCTACAATGCTCGATGTGAAATACCCCCAAAACTTAGATTGTTTCCATCTTACCTCTACACAGCAGTGGTTGTAATCTGATGGTGAAAGAGTAGAGCTTTTCCTCTGATGCAAGAACTCCGATGAAGAAGACGATGGATGAAGTTTTGATTTCACCTGCATCTTTCCCTTTTGTCGATTTTTAGTTTAAGTTTTAGTTTAGTTTCCTTTTTTTCCAGATTTAGCAATTTGGTAAGAGTGTTTGTTTGGACTGGGTCAATTTTGGGCCTGGTCTTTTTTGTACAGCTCCTTTTTTTCTATTTCTATTATATAGAAATGCCAAGCAGAGGACGACCAATGACAAAAGGGATATTAAATCAAATATAAAAGGGCAAATTATAATTACTATACTAAAATTTGTTGATATCCATGCACTATTTGTTAAGGTGTCCATGATACTTAGTCACTTTGCCTATACATGTGTGTTTCTCTGCTTATTGAATAGCATCGAAGTATTGATACGGTCTATTTTTTTGTTGGCTAGACTAGCTAAGTATTGTCTGATTTTATGCTACTACTGAATTAGGAGTTACAAATGTTTGACCTCTTCTCACTCTTGCTACATTTATTAGAATATAAAACTTTTCGACCTCTTCTTTGTTATGCGTTTTGTGTCAATAGGTGCTTTTATCCTTAAGCTTTTTCTATATGGTCAAATCAAATGTTTATTAGACACTAAAATATCAATGTTCATCAAGAAGTTGTACATGTAATTTTTTCTCTTCTTCGATCCATTAGAAGAGCTGGGAGGCATAGATTGATACTTCTCTAATTATAAATTAATTAAGGGATCATACTATGTTGAAACCTAATATTGCCATATAGTAACCGTATTTGGGTTCTAAGTATTCTCGAGTTTGATTAGTCATCTTACTCTTTCCGTCTGTTTGCACCATTTGATGAAGTTTTGTACCCTTTTATTTCTTTCACGATATAAATTATTTTTGTTTGATCCTAGACAATTCTAACCTTTATAGCATGCGCTAAGTTGTGATCGCATTCACAACGACACAATCATCTGATTTTTTACTACAAATCTCCCAAGTCATTTTTCCTATCTGGTTGAACGTATAGTAAATAGAACATAGGCATGTTGATAATCACCAATTATAGAAACGATATTCACTTGTTATAGAGGTAGGCGTCGCAAAATGCGAATCAAATGAAAATGGTTTTCAAAATTTTGAGGTCTTTTCAGGATTTGATAGAGAAATTATTTCCAACTATAACGAAAAGAAAATGATTTCAACAAGTATTAAATATGATATAGAGCTTAGAAAAATTGACAAAACTGTCGACAACAAGCAGAACAATCATATCATATAAGTTGTATAAAGAATGTCAAAAACTGATTAATCTTTTCAATTGTCCTTCGTATTTCAATGTCTTCATTCTTTGACAATTCTTTCCAATAATTCTGATAAGAATGGCATTGCGATACTCTAACGGGAAGCATGTATGGAAAAATCTTAAATTCCTTTTATCGGAACCAACTCTAATCGTGATATTGACTCTATTATGATATTTGTATCTGTTACATTCTTATAGCTCTCCATAGTTCTGAATATTGCTAGATTTACTACAAGTAAAAATTTGAACAAAGTGAGAAGAATTAAGTCTGATTACACCAACATCGAACATAATAACCTGTCTTATCCGTCTTATTTCAAGCTATGCGAATAAAAGTATGGAAAACAAAATAATAATAATACTTCACATCAATTTGAAAGGTTTTCTTGCTAGTAATTGAGGTCCTTAATGAGATTGAAAACTCACGTACCAGTCCTTAATTTCTATGAACTTTTTAAATCTGAATTCTTACCATTCCCCTAATCTTTTCACTTTAATGTTCAACAATTTGATTTTTAATTGTGTCTCACAATTATCTTGGTCTTCGTTTGAAAATAATATTGGATTTTTGTCATTAATTAATAGTTTTTTTCAAACTGATTTGAAATATCTTTTGGTCTATTGACTCAGTTTACAATCTTGACATAATACAAAGATCAGAAGGTAGGAACACATTTTCATTCATTTGGTTCCCAATTAAGGATCATTTTCATTTGGAAATTTTTTATTTGATTGAAATGAGAAGGAAGTTGTCTTGACTAGCTTTTTTTCATACTTCTTGGTTGTTGGACATAAAAGCAACGAGACTTGCACATTAATCTACTTTGAGCTATAAGGCAGACACTTTTGAGATAATAATGCTCCTCAATAGATATTATTTAAAGTTGATACTGCCAAAAGCTCCTCAAGAACTACGACACAATCCATTCAAGTTTCTTCCTTCTTTTATGTTGGTTTTGCAAGTGTCCTATAAGATAGGATTTGATGTTGAAGTCCAATATAGCATCTTGAGATAATTCAGTACATTTTGAAGTCTTACAATTGTATCTACTATGTTGATTTACAATTGTATCTATGGTAAGTGTCTTTTCCTCTTTTGATTTCATTTTTTCTATTTTCAGGTTTCATTTATCTTTCTCATGAAATGGATATTTCTTCATATCTATAAAGAAGGCCAGAAATTTTATGTGTTTTTGCGCAATAGTAGGGAAGATGATGGTGAAATATAAGGTAAGTCTCTATTTTGGATAAACAGTTTTTCGCGTTGGTTCTCTCATTCATTCTTTGATTTTGTTTGTTTATGCTTTTGATGGGTTGTTGTTGGTGTTGATTATGAATTTCTGACTTCTTCTCATTTTTGAGTATCTTCATTTGAGATTATTGATATGCCATTTACATTCTGCCTTGGGAATCTCTTTGCGTTTTTTTCTTTTATTTTTCAATTCAACATTTATGATTTTATACTAATAATGGATTTTTCCTCTTTCTTCATATTTTCTAGGGTGGATTTTGAGCAGAGGAAAGTAAATGTTAGCTGTATAAATAGGAGGGAATATGTGGCTTTTCTTTACTGCATTTTTGGAATGTGATTTTGTAAGAATTTCCTTATTCTCTCTTTGATTTTCATTCTCGAGTTCTTTTTTTCTATTTTTGACTCATAGGCGTTCTATATCTTACCATTTATTGTCGATTCTTTTGCTTTATGTTCCTTCATTTTTGGAAGATCCATTTTGTAGTTATGAAAAAGTTACTACTTGTTTGAATATCTATGTTTGCTCTTTTTTCATTCTCTCTTCTTAGAAATTGCACTCAAATGAAGCAACATGAATAATAAAAAACGATCAGGAAATCCTACCTCCATTGCATCAAGCTGATGACAATAAAGGTGGAATCCATCCATTGAACGAACAATAGTAACTTCTGGATTTTCAACTTGAGAATCAAATATTGACTCTCTTAGCTACTTCAAATTCAACAGTCCTCTTTTTAGCACCTCATGGAATTGGCCAACATGCCATTTTAGTTAAGTGTTTGTTGATGATAATAGAAGTTTGTAGTTATTAAAAAAAACTATGAAACACAAACAATGGGAAGAGATCAAAGATGATAAAAGTAATAATATCAAAATAAAAAAAATGAAACTCAATGTTCATAAGAGGAAAAATATGCACGTTTGAGTCAATGACTAGATGTTTATAGCCATAAACATCTTAATCGCTGAATTAAGATACACAATTCTACTCATTTAAATGGTCCAATGCATGTTATTTTATATAGACTTAGAGATGTGTTTTATATTATTTATATCGACTCAACTTCTAATTTTGAAACTCAGATATGCATATTTTAAGTATAGAAATTGACTCATCTACTGATTTAGTGACTATGATGTTTATGTATATTTACTCTCTACTATTAACATATTTACACAACTAATCGAGACATACATTATGGTTGTCGCTTCTTGGGGGTATATATTATGCCTTTTGAGGAGGGAGATGCACGTGCACCTGTTAACTTTTTTTTTTTTTTTTGTATATATGTGCATATGCCTTTCAAATCGTAAGGCCATTTTCATAAATTTAGTGATAAAATAAGTTACAAAGTGTCTTATATGGATTCACGAATTTTTTTGTAGAGTACGTAGGTAGGAGAGCATCTGCATAAGGACAGAGCATACCATTAGATTGGATGTTTATTTCTTTAATTCTTAACTTTTATATTGCATAATTGATCTAAATGAAGATTTTTCAAGGACATATGAAAATAGGCTAAGATTGGATTGAATAGTTCCTATCAAAGTCTTAGAAAACTCTAGATTACAATCAATTAATTTAAACAAGAAAAATATGGCAAGTTTCTTAATTGGCATATGAAATTTGTCTTTTTCTTATCTAATTTAGTAGTTGATACACATTTATTATGATTTGCGGAGAGTAAAGAAGTTTGAATTACCATATACTTTTGTAATGTGGTTGTTAAATGCGATAAAAATATTATGAACTTTTTCACTCATTACATAGTAATGATCTAAATTTGTCGAAATGACTGGTGCTGCTCTTTGATTGCACCAACAAGGTGATAAAGTGAGTGCTAATATCTCTTTATGATTAATATTATCGTGATCCGAGGCAGTGTTGAGATTAATATTTCCATGTCACAAAGATAGGTAAGAATGATGTAGTTTAATTTTCTCCCTGCTCAATTTTCCACGGTATTGCTACTGCAAGCATTAATCTAATATGAGTAAAA